AGAAAGAGGACTGCATAATAATAGAGCAGACTCTGATCAACATTCCCTGCACTAGGATTAAGGGGGGGTGGTGAGAACGACAGTTGGGGTATGTAGGTTTCATGTCGCTCAAAGGAGCACATTAAACTATATCTAAATAAACACGGTAAAAATTGTAATAGTGAAGGCGTGATAGAATGATACAGGTAACGCCAACAACCCATGGCAGAAGGGGAGATACCACAATTGTTTAGCATACGTTTGGTCATAGGATCGACTTCTCTTGTCTCTTTGACGAGTTGTTGTATGGTGCTAAGAATGGCAATATTCACTGTCGATGCCGGCGAAACGTTTGGGAATGTACCACGTCCACAGTTCAACCTTGGAAATGATCATGCAGACAATGGACTCCGGACTAGGTACGTTCCTCTAAGTCTTCATACCAATATAATCATGTTGCGAAAACAAGGTCAAACAACCTTTATACAACGAAAGGAGACTGCAACCACGCAAAAGGCCACCCCATCTTGGTATTCATACCTTCGATAGAGTGATTTGGTTAGTTACGGTCATATGTCAGCTTCGAAGCCTGTGAGTGTGTCTGTCTCTGTATGTGCATGTGCCAGTTTGTGTTCGCTTATGCACGAAACCCGCAGTGATGGCTCAACGTAATTAGGACAGCAAGAGTAACGTTATTCCTCGACCATCAAGTTTTGATTACCCCTATCTCCCCCTTTCTATATATATTTTGCAACCATCACTCCGATTGCGCAAGGTCAGACACGCCAGGTTTTGTTGATGAGCCTATTTTCTGTTTTCGGTCTCAATGCGAGACAGAAAGGGGAAGATAGTGGTCATCAAACCTTGATGGCAGAAAACAGACGTTACTTTTGCTATCCTCATTACTTTATGCCATCACTGCGGGTTTCATGCATAAGCGAACACGAACAGTCATATGAACATACAGAGACAGACACATTCACAGGCTTCAAAGTTGACATATGACCGTAACTAACCAAATCACTTTATGCTTAATCAAAGAGGCCAGATATAGAGTATATATACCCCTTTTTATGAATTTGCTGGTGAGTTTTCTCGACTCGTTAGCTCGAATTTGGTTGTCACGATAATACCTTGCTCTGATGATATTCCTCATATGACGGACGAAAGGTTATCACATTTTCACTGGAATCAAAGTAGATTACCTCGGAAACAGCGTCAGCATGAATATTCCAGTAAAGCCAATCGACAGCTGGTCAAGAGGAATCCTCCGTCGTCTTCTGGTGGAATCGACCTTCGAATCTCTTCACTAAATACTTTCACTCGAAATTGAAGTAAGCACAACAAAGGCTTATCTCCTGGATAAAATATTTTCCTATAATGCCCTGGCCTATGATATTATAATCCCTAATAATATTTCTAGAATTTAATTTATTCGTTCTCTTGACTCCCTTTTCCAATTACTCTTGTTAGCTGTTGATTTTATATCCAGACTATTACTTCATCTTCACTTATTTGAAAAAAATTATTAATATTTCAACACCATTGTAATTGATTAATCTTGCAAAATCAAATACTTTACGACCAAAATCATCATTGCACTATTCTTACCACCAACAGTGTCACTAAAATTGCTGGCACCAACTCACCACAGTCACAAACATCTTACACACTTTCATACTCATCTTCGTCACTATCACCATCTTCCCCATCACCGTAATCATAGTTATTCTCTCAACTATCGCCATTGCTTAGTTCAGCTCTAAACTTCTGCAAATATAATGTGATAACACTCTTAGAGCCTCAGCTTTTTTTCCACCGCTTGTAAAATATCTATCTAGCTTAAGAAATTTAGTTGTAGGCGAAGCCATCATTATCCAAAGCCATCTGCATCTCGACGCCTATTACTACTAAAGGCACTCTCAGCAGTGCTATCACAACTTTACTCCTAATTATCATCTTCACATTTAAAAATATTTACCGAAAATGAGCAAGATAGAGCTACCCACCTCCATACGTATTTTCTTGCGTTCCTCCGCTGCTTCGTTGTTCTCATCGTGTGCTCATAATTGAGGTCATTTGCCTCCGTTCTGCCTTCGTTTGCTCGGCTTTCGCGCATCCTCGACGACCAACAGGCCCTGGGACATTGGTGAAATAGTTCCTCAACAAGCTGTCTCGTTTTCCGCCAACTATTCGGCGTGAGTCTGCACTCCACTGATTCCTTATCTTTATGTTTTCTCCATTCTTCATTCTGCCTTTCATAATTATTTCCCCATTCAACGCGTTTTGCTATTTTGGCACCGTCTTTTGACCATGTTCTAAGAAGTGCATCTATAGCAATGTTTAGGCACCTCCATGTCTTAGCGTAGGTCTTGGGCGTATATTTAGGTACTATTTCTTCTAAGGGCACTTCGCCAAGGCCCTCCTGACTTATTCCAAATCCCGTCACCACCTCGCCTTGAGACTTTAATTGTCTATCAGCGCCCCGTTCGAATGATTTCTGAGCCTCTTCGGTGACACCATCGTCTTCCGAGAGTGCCCTGTTGGTCCTACGCTCAAGCGAGTAGACTGGTATATGATTCGCCACGTAGTTGTCACTCATCGCTTTTATTCGAGCAAAACACAGGCCAAATAACAAGCTGAGCTGAAGGCATGTCTGCAGGCTATGTGGCTTGTATTCGCATCTTCTCGCCATATTCTGTCTGTGATCGTCTATGTGACCGTGCGTGTGATTTGCTTAATTTTTCCGTAGGCCTAGTTGGAGGAAAAGAATAGGTAGTGAGGAAATGAAAGAGCGTCAACTCGACGCACTAGCAATTAGATTGATAATTAATCTAATTATCTGTCATTATTCGGGCAAAGACAGTTTTCCTATTTTAATTCACTCAGAGAAGCATAGACAATTTCAAAAGCACAGGATTAAGTTAATTATGTTAGTATAAACAAATGAGTGTCACCGAACATTGGTTTTACTAGAATTTCCTTTGCTGCTGATTTGACAAACATTTTTATTTTGCTTAATAAGCCGGACTCAGAACTACTTTGGCAGACCCGTTGGAAAAGGCTGGGAGAATGCGGTGAGTAACCATCCATCTGTACGCGTCAGCAGTTTGGGAAATTTAACCTCGATTCTAAGTCAAGAATGTTTTACTTCTTTGACGATATTTGCTTCTCTGCAGAGGAAACTTAGCATGTGTTCAGCAAAGTTGAGGAATGGAGTATGATGTCCCGCGTACTATTACAAATTATACAAACCATTAAAAAAATACTTTTCAGATAAAAGGTATTATTCCCGACTTTTCCTACCCATCATCAATTTCTTTATTAGAAATTTTTGAAAAGGTGTGAAAATTACTTCGAAAGCTAATTAAAGACGTTTAAATAATTCTTAGATTACTTAAATTTGCGGAATTCTTCCAGGCATCTAAAATAAGTTCGATTCCTTAGAAAATTATGGCTTTGCAATTACCTTGTCTCTGAATAGTGAAC